GGGGGGGGGGGGGGGGGGGGGGGGGGGGGGGGGGGGGGGGGGGGGGGGGGTGATGCTCGCCGTTTCGGTTGCCATATGGTATGCAAGAGGTGTGGTGGTGGTGGTGGTGGTGGTGGTGGTGTCTTTCTCGTTGGCTTCCGTAGAGCGTGCCCGCAGTTTCGCTTCAACTAGCAACTAGCTTATGCCAGACCCATTGGGTGGATGTTGGAGTTGGTGTTGGTACGCTCATGAACTTTGACGTCTAGGTCGAGAGCACGAGGGACGATACACACACATGTCCCGTACTTGTTGCTTTGCGTGGACTGCGCGCTCTTCGTCTCTTTTTCAGTTTTGCCATGTGATGTCGGGTCGCTCACTCTCTGTCTCGCTCACCCACTCTTTTCTCTCTCTCTGTCTCCGTCTCTCCGTCTCCGTCTCTCTGCCTCGTTTCTCTCCCCTTTTCTTTCTCTCTCTCGCCCCCGCACTCTTCTGCTGTGGATACCAGGCAAGTGCAACTACAGGGATGTCTTGGCCAAGCTCAAGAGCGACCTCTCCGCCGACACAAGCCAGGTTTTGGACGGTCTTCTCGTCGAGCTTAAGGTGGGGTGTGTTTCAGGTCGCTGCGGGCTCCGTTTTGATTTGTGTCAGGAGGAGTTTGTCTTGTTGTTGGTTTGGTAGCGGGCTAGTGCTCGGTGAAGTATTGATAGTTTCGTTGGAATAAGCAGGTTCGGTGGAGGTTGCCATTGCCAAGGATGTCGTTGATGCTGCTGTTGCCGCTGACCCTACGCTGTCGCTGCTAATGTAGTCGTTTTGTTAGTGATACGTATTCTGACGGTTCAGTGCCGATGGTTGTAGTCACGATGCGCCTGCTCTCCACCATGACCTCCGTGCCGCATGTACTGTAACGCTGGTTTCTTCCACACCATTCCGTTCTTTTCCGCGCCGAACGGTTCACCACCCACACAGGACCACGACGTGATCGTGGAAGAGAAGACCGGGAATTCCAGATTCCTTTCCATCTCCGGAGGGCCTGAGGTCGTTGACTTCCTCGCGGCATACAAGCGTTAGACGGAATAGGCGAACCTAGCGATCATGCGCCTCAAGAACGCCTTTACGGAACGGGATAGAGACGGGGGGGGGGGGGGGGT